TATTTGCATTTCCAACCCATGAACATCCAGCCTTCAGCACAACTTACTATGGTTTCTCCAGGTGATAATGGCCACTCCAGTACAAAGCAGGTAGACCAGACCAAGAGCAGCATGAAGCAGAAAGTGCCAAATGTGGTCTCTGATGGATAAGCAAAGAACATGCATTCAGTGGCCAGGGACTGGAAACTGGAAACCTACTGGTCCATGCTGACTTGATTTCTGCAGATTTTTCAGTCACACATTCATGCAGTGAATGTCCAATTCAAATTCATCCCAAAGTTGTGCTTGAAGGTTGAGATCTGGGGCCACTGAAGGAACCAGAACTTTTTGTCGTGTTTCTGTACCCACTTTGTGATGGTGCATGTCTTTTCCTGCTGGAATTTTCTGTTTGAAAAAGGGTGGACTGTGGACATGGTCAGCCATGATCTTAAGGTTCACATTAGTTTCAGATTCAAGTGAAACTCAGGTGGTATTAAGATGAGTGTTTTGTGCCAACATACATCCCCACAGGATGAGTCCATGCAGTCATACCATTTACTCATGATTCTGGTCTCAGATTTTGACTTATCTTACTTTGAATCTTGAATGCGCACTTGTTAGAGTTTACAGAGAACAAAATGGGTTTGGCAGTTTACCTTGGTGACTGTGTGGTGTTCAGATTCTTATTAGTGGTGGAAGTCAAGGCACCAGAGGGACATGTGGTCACAGCCCATCCTGTTGGGTGTTTTGTTGCTGAAGTGAAACCGTCTCTCTGCTGTGTAGATGAAGTAAAACTTTCTGTCTGCTGTAAAGCTGTAGTCAGCTCTCCCTGTTTGGGTGAAACTGCTTTTGCTGTGGAAGATCAGGTCAAAACAACAGTCAAAACATTTTAAATTACTTAAATCAAACTTACTCAATTTCACAATATACATGTAAATATGAATGAATTTACAACAAGTTAAAATTATCAAAGTAAAATACACTAAAAGAACCTTGGATGTCACTAGTGAGAATTTAACTATGTAACCATAACCATGTCATAGGCAGTCTGTCCATAGTACATAATGTAATGATCAATATCAGGCTGTGTCTGTTTACATATGTAACATACCGAGAAGTTAATATAATCTGCAGTCCTTGACCTGCAGGCTAATTTAATAATTCACCTTCCATCACAATCAGCTGTAGATAGACACCATCATCTGCTGCCCCATGAATCTCCACAGC